TTGCAAATGAAACCTTCTTTTGAAATTGCTTGCATGGTAGACATATCGGCAAAATAATCGTGAACTAGACGTCAGCGCCCATATTTGTGATCTCTGTTTAACATCGCATGTCATGTTAGTAATGGAGCTGGATCTAGTTGTAGTAACTTGTTAATAATGGAGCTGGATCTGGATATGGTTTTCCCTTCTTAGGAAATGGTGGAACTGGACATCATGCTTCTTCAACACTTCCACCTCCTCTTCCTCCTGTGGCTCTCCCAACGCCATGTTTCCCTCAATTTGAAAGATATGAGACTATTCAATCCCTATTGACATGTAAACATCAAGATGAAAACCTGTGTGTATGTGTATTTTTGAAAGTGAAATCATACATTAACAAGTTGGTAAAATGGTTGTCATTTTACCAAGGGAGCAAGCCATTGATTTGGTTCTTCTCTCGCTTCCAATGTCAAATGATCAGTTCATTGAGAATTTTTATATGATGAATATCGACATGACCCTAACTGATTTGACTCGAATGTTGATGGTTGTTGAAGCAGAAATGCTTAAGAGCACATCTAAACCAGAGATGCTTAGAGGGTCTAATTCCACGTTTTCCATGGACACTGATAATGGTGACAATGGTGGTCCAGAAATGATTTCTCTTCCTAGTGATCTATCATAACTCCCATGAGTAGCTCAAGAAAACTATGATTTAAGTTTCCTTCACTTTTCCTTTGATTCTTAAAACATCAACATGTGACCCAGTCACATCATGTAATAAGAATCTTGGAATAAAAACTTAATCGAGTTAGATATTGGACTTTACCTGAAGTAGAGTCAAACTTATTGACTTTACCAGCCTTATGATCTTTCAGGTAAATTTGATAGCTTCACAACCAATGCCCTTTCCTTTTGGCAATAGAACCATATGGATCCTTTAGGAATGGTACATGGGACAATCTCAGTCTTAGCCTTTCTCTTTACCATTTGGTCAACCGAGTTGACTATGACCAATCCTTTTCCATTAGGAAGAGAAATCTTTTACTGGGTATCCAATGCAACCATTGTCAATGTCCATTGAAGGTTTGGAAAGTTGATCTACTAGTCAAATTTGATTTACCAAAGCTCCAAATCATTGTTGATTCAGCAATACCAAGCAAATAGATAAGATCATTAAGGGTCATGTCATAGTCTATTTCATAGTAGTCCCAAAGGTAACTCTCCATGTGACTTAGAAAGTGATTGAACATCCAACTTTCTTAAGACTTTGACACCCAACTCTCCCAGCTTGTCAATATGTGACTTCATCTCCAAGATGCGATCACACATAGACCTTGCTTGCCAACAGGGCTTGAGTGATCTTAAACTTGTGAGTTAGGGAGAATAATTGGATGAGGTGGAGGAAGTGAATTGCCAAGAGATTTGGGAAGATCATAGATGTCTGAACTAGACATCTTTTGGGAGATATTCAAGATAGTTGATCTAAAGTCCTTACTATAACACCTAATATGAAATATTAAGGCTAGGACCCAACACAATATTTTATAACTTGGAAGAGGGATGTCGTAATCCAAGCTATATAATATTTGAAGGTAGGTGAATGACGATTCACCAATTTCCACCATGAAAAACGAAATAATTTATTAGGTTTTTAATTGGATTTGAAACTCCTAGATCTTTTGAGATTAATTGAACTGTTCAATGGCATGTTTCAATCTCGAGTGTGCCCTTCAGGTTTTGTGACTGGGATGCCGAGGATCACAATACAAGGTGTGAAGTAACCATGCAAATTACTTGGTAGTCTTAAGTGTTTACCCCTCAATCAATGTGTCGGTTAACCACACACTCTTCATTGATACTATGATAAACATTAAGTTACCCTTTGCCTACCTTGTTAAATACGAGTTAGTGTGTCGGTTAACCATGCACGCTCCACTAACCAACTTAAACAAATTGCAAAGTGTAATTTCATGGATTAGCACCTTATTCATATTTTCCTAAAGTAATTAAGATTGTGAATTATAAAAAGCATTTAGTTACTTTATATTTGTCATTGATACTTTTAATGAAGGGATAATTATAGTCCTTATCCTACCCATTCGGCTAATGACCCTCCACTAGTCAAGGAAGCAGTGGGTGAGAGTGGAGACCCATTAAACTGCCATTTTATAGGCAGTAACCTTATACCCCCTTTATAGACCAGCTTCGTGAATGAGACATACTAATGGTAAGATGACTTGCTCTGATACCACTGTTGGGTTTTAAGTATTTTAACACTCATATGGTGTACATGCAACCCTAAATAACTTGGATCTATGTTTTCTCTATTATACATGCAAATATGAATATTCCAAGGTATTACCCTATCTAGCATACAACCTTTGATACTTGGTTAATATAACAAGTTAGAATACATACCTTGTTGATGTAGCTTGACTCCATATAGCTCGAGAGCTTAATGCCCCAAGCGTGACACCTCAAATGGTTCACACAACATCATCAACACTTGGAATAACCATGAGAAGAAGACATAAAACTTGGAAATTGGCTTGCCCTCCATATTATGCACTAGTGCAAATTTCTCTAACAAATGGGGTCTTTATATAATGTGCACATTAGGGTTACACCATGTAACCCATAACTTTACCCATTCCTTATGCTCCATGGGTTTTAACCTCCATGGAGTATCCATGGGTCACCATATAGGTTAAACCCAACATAAAGAATCATGGATCATAAGCCCACATATATAAGAATGAATGATTTACACAATCAATCCCTATATATTTAATTAGTCTCTTTTGATCACTAAATTAAGTCCAAATTAATTCTTGATCAATACTAATTAAATAACATGATTTCATATTCATATATTTGAACTTATAATATATTAATATGTCACGGATGTCTTCTTCTCATAAAAGGTCTATCCAAATGTTCCGATGTCATGCAATCTAAATGGACGATGCCGAGTTGGGTCAAGTACATACCAATTATAGTTATGGACTTAGACACTAATCCAACAAGAGGCTGGTAATAAGAGAACCTTAGGGCATAAGGTTGTTTAAATAGGGTCCAAACCCTAAAAATTAGGGTTTGACCCTTGACCACGTACGCCCAATGTACTAAGATGAATCCATGCGATCATTGAAGCCCAGTACACCGAACGTAAACCCTATATGTCCAGCGTACTAGACTAAATCCATGTTCTTCATAACTTCTGATAGTCAGTTCCCGCGTCTCAAGTTCGTTTTCGGCGTTCTTTATACCTACGAAAAGGTCTCGAAGAGCTCTACGACCAAATCTTGTTAAATTTGGCTTAACACAAGTCGATCTTAATACCATAATCCTTGCAAGCAGTGTAACACCTATCCTTCCCCATCTCACCCTTAGTTCCCACTCACGACTCGAGTGGTTAGATATCACAATCGAACTTGTCAACCTTCAATAAAGCCTAAACTTTACTTTCACGAAGCCCCAAAGTCTTTACATAATCGATTTACGACCCACAAGTCCCGAATCACATATTGATCCAAAACAAGGTGTTACAGTTCAACATTGGGTGAACTCTGCATTGATGACGAGAAATTTGTAGGATGCTCATATTATCAAAACTTTGTTGTAGTTTGGGTGACTGATCAAGTACTATATGTTAAATTAATACTTGATTGTTTGTTAAAATGTATAACGTTTTTTTAGGATAAATGAAAACCTGATTGTTTATGTGTGTTCTGGAGGGTGAAGGTTATTAAACAGAATCGACCAAGTATCTTAGTTGAGGAAAATACTCGTATGCCACCTAAATTTAAACTCCAACAAAATTTAACAGAGAGTAAGGAGTCCTAGAAGAATAACCATGTCCTCAGATGATGATACAAAGGATATAAAGAACAAATATATGGATAGTAATTTGATATTTATTTTTATCAGTAGTTTTTAATCATTTCTTTACTGGATGATGGTTGTTGGATTGATTTATTATCCTGTAATCATCATGACCTTGATTAGTCTAATGACTTGAATGCCCTTTCGTAATGTGAAAATTTTGGAATCTTGTATATAGAGGTCAATAAAATCAGTAAGTTGTAATGAAGGGGGGCAAATATGTAACCGAAACTTATTATTTTTTTCAATAAAAGATATTTTTTATTTTTATGTGATTTTCGTAGAAGTTAATGTAATCAATAAGTTGTAGTGATGATCGGGGGAAAATAGGTAATTCTAACCTCAAATTTTGGCTTGCAAAGGCATTTTTGCTTTTTCATAGGATTTTGGAAGTAAAGAAAATTTTGGAATTTTGTGTACAAAAGTTAATGAAATTAATAAGTTGTAAACTGAGGAAATAGGTAATGCTAACTTAAAGTTTTTCCAAGCAAGGAAATTTTGCATTATTTGGGATTATGTAAATAAAGAAAATGTTGGAATCTTGTATACCAAAGTCAATGAAATCAATAGGGTTGTGATGATGAACGAGGACAAATAGCTAATATTAAATTCCAATATTTTTTAAAGAAAGAAAAATTTCCATTTATCTAAGTGATTAGTGATTACTTATTATAATCTAATGTTTCATGTCAAGCCGTAGACGTGACTCCCGTTTCTTCAAAAAAAACACATATGTTTACCAATAGTTGTCATGAGTATTTATTTTGAAATGTTTTTCATTTACTTGACGGATTTTACGTATGTTATCATATAAAGCAACCCAATGACAAAATCTAATTTAAAAAATAAGCCTCCAAACCCATACCAAGCATGAGCCACCTTCATAGTTTTAATTAAAAGGGTCTTAAAAATGAAAGCAAAATAGTAAATGTATAGAATATTTATTTTGAAATGTTTTTCATTTTAATGTATGTTACCATATAAAGCAATCCAATGACAAAATCTAATTTAAAAAAACTAAGCCTCCAAACCCATACCAAGCATGAGCCACCTTCGTAGTTTTAATTAAAAGGCTATTAAAAATGAAAGAAAAATAGTAAAGGTATATTTATATAAGATCACATAGAGTTAACATGAACTTTTTAGCAAGAGTTAGTCATCAAGGTATTGAAAGTTACAAAATATATAATTAGACGATTCATGCAAGAAAAAATTAATAAAGACCGTTTGAATAAAATTTTAAAAGTACAAATATCATTCATGAAATTGAGTCTTTTTTTTTTCAAGGTCTATCTAACAAAAAAAAAAGAGAAGGCCAAAACCATTGATAGTTGATCTGTTTACATCGAAAAAAGAAAGAAAGAAAGAAAAAACTTCTTTGTTGTCGTTGGTAATGACACCATCGTGGCCGTTTATTCATGAATCACGATGATGAGAGATATCTGGATCGTCTATCTATGAAGCCCTAGTTTCATAAACGTCGGGGAGGGGAATAGTTTTTGGCCTTATTTTGTCAGCGATTAGGTTGGGAGAGAGCATACATATCTTCGATAATCAGGTATCTAGTAGTTGATCGTGGAAGCTATTTCTCTCTTATCGGTATCTCTCCAATATTTCGTTCATCATTTGTCTCGTTTACGTTTCATCGTTTGTTTTATAAGTTACAGCGAACACGACAATCAGAAGCCCTACTTAAAATAATTGGTCATCAGCCTTCTAAGTAAGAATAGTCTGCCATTATCTTAACGATTTTGGATGCGATGTACCAGGTTAATGTCTTTTGTTACCAATAGTTCGAGGTTTATTCTAGGGTTTAACCTTCTGATTAGGACTTGTCGTAATTCACAACTTTCTGTGCGTCAGCAAAAATAATTCATCACAATAGTGGCATATGCTATTTGCACCAATTATGTACAATGCTTGTCTGTAGATGCTAGATGAATAATAATTTGAGCAGTGTGGTAGATAAATGGTCATGTTTGGGATTCATTGTGTTCTTAGAAGCCAGAAATCACTAGAAGGACCTAGAGTTGTCTGAAAGATCCTGTTGCTGGAGTTTTCCACTGCCTCACGTTATGACATTACTCACATTACCATCCTTTTGCTTCAATTCTTTGATGAGAATACTTATCCTGGGGATCCAATCTCATAAAAGATCCCTACCTTGATGTATCTGAGTTATCTTGCTACATATAAATGTACGATAGCATTGGAGGGGTGCATCTTTATTTTGGTACATAAGCTGTTTGAAGCATATTTCGTCCAGAGTCCAGCCTATCAAAATATAACATGTTAGTTGGTCTTGTTCTTTCTCATCTGCAGTCATAAACATAAGTTAATTTCTGTACATGGTATCTTCATTTGTGAACTGTCAATTTCTATCCTTTTACATAAAAAAGGACGACCACAACTTTCTCATGTGGATCCCCATTCTGTATCACTGTGAGTATTGTGGTCAATAAATTGGTAAAGGAATGAACACGCTTGTCCTAGATTGATTTCTTACAACTTTGCATTAGATATGTAGAAAGTTGATGTTTACCTGACCCTGATAAGTTAAGTGTATATAAAATTATGTCTTTATTCTAAAAGTAGAAGTGGAAAAGCATGTCATCTCTTTCGAAATTATCAAAAGCTAACATGATATACTTCTTAAGTCAAAAAATATGAGCATGGGATTGCATTAATATGTGATAAGTTTACATCATCTCATGACTCGGATGCTTTGTTTATGAATTATGATAGATGGAATGCGCTTGGACAAATATGAGCTATGGGAATGGGATGATCATTATCATACGTAGGGATGTAAATGGGTTATGGGTGTTATTTAATTGTAGTTGGAGGTCCTTAATTTCATTTCAAAAAAAAAAAAAAAATTATATAGCTGTGGAGCATTTTGGAGCATATGAGCATTGGAGCTTGTGGACCACCACGAGGATTGGTCTCTTGGTTATGTTTTGGGTGAATTTTGTTGTCGTGTTTGGTGAAATTTGGTAAGCAAAGAAAGATTAGTTTGTGGTGTTGATGATTGTTTTTGTTTGCAGGGATTGAAAGATGAGTGGGCGGTTTTCTCACACGATTTATGTTGGGAACCTTCCTTTGGATATAAGAGAATGGGAAGTTGAAGATCTGTTTTACAAGGTTGGAGTTGAGTTGAGTTGTTTTTAATGGTGGTTGAGCAAGTAAGGCAAAAGGGTGAGGAGGATATGATGTTTGTTTTGTGTTTACATTGATGATGCAGTATGGGAGAATATTGGACATGGAATTAAAGATTCCACCTCGTCCTCCTTGTTATTGTTTTGTGGAGGTATGAATATGAAAGTTGGATTTATTATGGTTTGGAAAGATATGATAGATAGATAGATATGGTTTGTAAATTGCAGTTTGAGAGTGGGCGGGATGCTGAGGATGCGGTTAGGGGTCGTGATGGATATAATTTTGATGGGTGTCGCCTCAGGGTAACTGTAACAAAACAGATGTTTCTTGTAATGTATCGCGTCTGATTGCATTTGGTGAACGAATTGAAGGTTGAACTTGCTCATGGTGGTAGAGGACAATCATCATCATCTGGTGACTATCGCAGCAGTGGTGGTGGATCTGGGCGTTATGGCATCTCACGTCATTCTGAGTATTGAGGTTTATCTTATGGTCTGTTTTTTTTTATCAAGTCTAGATTTTTTTTTTTTTTTTTATTTGAATTGATTTGTTTTGTGCAGTTGTTGTTCGAGGACTACCATCGTCTGCTTCATGGCAGGATCTGAAGGTGACAAGAATTGCATTGATATTACATAATAATACATGATTGATGTAATTAATAGTTGATTGCCAATCCCAGGATCATATGCGAAAGGCCAGTGATGTGTGTTTTGCGCAAGTTTCTCGTGACAGTGAAGGTAGGAAATGGAAATGCATCATGGATTTGGTTGGTTGGTGTATTTTTATGGATGTGGTTGATTTTATGCAATGCAGGGACATTTGGGGTTGTTGACTATACCAACTATGAGGACATGAAATATGCTGTAAGTTGTGTTATGCCAAAAGAATATATGCATCATATGTATTTGTATTTGACTGAGGTATACATTTTACCGACTCAGATAAGGAAGCTTGATGACACTGAGTTTAGAAACCCTTGGACAAAGACGTATATTCGGGTAAGTTGGTTTTTCTTTTATCAAGCTTTATTGTTGTAATTAATGAATCTAATCTCCTGCGGGTGTGGGTGTGGGTGTGGGTTTGGGCGTAGGTAAGGAAGTATGATAGCAGGAGCAGGAGGTAATTCAATTTCCTTTTCTTTGAGTTGTTGGTGAGTGAAAGTGAATAATTGTTTGATGTTTTGTTAGTTCCTTGGGGAGGTCCGTGTCAAGATCTGCATCTCCTGCTAAACCAGCAAGGTCAAGGTCAAGGTCTCAATCTCCCCATCAGGTAGGTTAGAGGTAATCAATAAAGACAAAGACACACCTATTTTCTTAATGTATTATTATTGACCATTGCCAAATGTTTATGTTTCCACTTACTTTGTTGTTGTAGGTCCCCTCCCCCTCCCCCCTGAAGCCATCTCCCAAAACTAAACTTAAACCTTTCTTTGTTTTATTTAACTTTGGAACTTGTGTTTCTGGGTGTTAATTGCATTGTGTTTGTTTTTCATTTTTTCTTCGAATCAGATATATTCTAAACATTATATATATATATATATATATATATATATATATATATATATATATATATATATATATATATAACAATCTATTCCAATCAATAATAATAATAATAACTAGAAAAGTGCCCCCGCCATTGTGGGGGTCGGATTTAGATTAAATGACATAGTTTATTCATTTATTTATTGGAATGGAAAACCGCTCTTTTGCCAAATAAACACCACATAAATCTTTAGCAATATACCACCCCGGACTTGGCAACTTTCCTATGAAGATGAAACATCCGTGCGCATTATCATTGTTGGAATGTTTTCAGAAGAAGATTCATCTTGAAGGTTGTGGACGTTTCAGACTTCTGACCCATGTAGTTATCTTAGAAGAAGACAACTTTTTTGATGGTGAATCTTGTGCATAATCATTTGTAGGTTCCACTTCTAAGCAAAAGTATCAATTCTTTCTTTTGCAATTTTGAATAATTCCTGTACTGTTCTATAACCAACCCCTCGATTTCCCTCTGTTTCACCATATTGAAATATGCACATGTCGTATCCATTGAAAAGTGAAGCCACCAATGGTGAAGCATTGTTTGTTTGATGATGAATCAAAGTCAACCATTGTTGACCATGTTTCCTGAAACTATAAAAAAAAATTAGTTTTTATAGAAAGTTAGAAACTTTATTATATGTTTGTTAAAAAGAAAAAGAAAAAGAAAAATTTGCACACCTTTTATATCCTCAAATTGATTATGAAGCTTTCTTCGCTTGATTTGTTCTTTGTTGTATTTGAGTTTAAGATGCTTACACTCTACAACTAAAAGTAATGATAGAAGAGAGAGCTGAGAGTGGTTTGGAACTGCGTTAGCACAGTGGTGTGCAGAAACCATGTTATTGAGATCAGGAAGAAATTGAGTCAGCACAGTGGTGCTCTCTTGAAGAGAGAGCTGAGAGTGGTTTCGTTTCAATACATACTTCCTTGATTGTAGCCACCCAAACTTTCTTGTCATGTTCATATCTACCTGATATGCCCCTCAATTCTTCAGATTGTTTATCCATTTTTTGGTCTAAAAATAAACAAAATTAAGAATTTCTAACATCTATAACAAAATTATTATTTATATCTGCAAATGAAAACAGAATAATAAAACGATAACACTAATTTTGTAAGGAAAAAAAGTCACAAACATGCATACACATATATACATAGAGAGTCTATTAAAGATTTCATTAAAACGTTTATAAACATGAAAACAGGAAAAACTCATTTAAACTATAATGTTTCTGTTTGCATTAAGTAGAAAAAACATTAATAATTGAGAGACTAACCTGGAGTTGGTCTTCACATCTTTTAAGTTTGTCACTATATTTTCTCGTATTAAGAAAATATTTATGAAGCCGTAAGAAAAAAGAAATTTTACAACATGAAAACAAAAAAAGAAAAATAAATTAATGGAAGTACCTTAATTAATTGTTCCTTGCGATTTGAAGTGAGGCTTTTAGCATTTGCAAGTGCACCTTTTAATGAAAAACTTATGAATGGTAGAATTGTAATTTGGTGTAAAAGAAGAGATCGATTATACAGTTTACCAAGAAGAAATACAATCTTGAACAAATTTTTCGTTGAGGATTTTTGTCAAGTAGTTGGTGTTCAAAACTTAAAAAGAACAAAGAACAAAATGAATAAGAGTTACAAACACCAAAACTGTGAAATTGAAATACAAATGGTGGAATCAACCTGCTGCTACACTCTTCCCTGTCTTCCCTCGCCTTCCGTCTCCCCCCCAAACAAAATTGCCTGATGACAATTGTGTTCGTTGACAAATACGATTCCAAACATTCCATAATTCAATATCCATAAACATAGGGCCAGAAAAGTAAATTTAGTTGAGACTTTTAATAGGTACAATGGATACCTCATTCATTTAAAATGGATAATCAAACAATTATAATCAACTAATGAATTAGGTAAACTAACCCGAAATTAATACCTTACTCGGATCAGGCATTTCATCGAATGCCTTATAGGCATGTTTCTCATCCAAAAGTAGTAACCTTATTGGGTCTTTCTGCTTCCCAAACTTGTACCCAACGTCTCCAACTAACCCATTCAAATCCTCCTGCCTTTGTAAAATTGATCTACAAACAAAATCATCCCAAAAAAGAAAACAAATAATTGAACCTTTAATTTGTAAAATAAAAAAGTTACTTGTGTCCTCGTTGCGTTGTTGCGACGGAGTAGAAAGTGCAGAGGAAATGAGGCCGATTCGACACGGATGGAAATATCGGATAAGGGAGGCGGTGGGGAGAATCTGATAAGGGGGAGTCGACAACGTTCGATTGTATGGGTCATGGTTCTAGAAATTAGAGAAAATATTGTTTGCCTCTCTCTTAATCGATTTCTGATGATGAATAACACAACCAAAGAACGACCGGAATCAGAAATCGGCTTGCTGCCCACCATCTTTGATATTTCGATGGAGTTGAAAGAGTGAGAAATGATGCGGTAGGGAAGGATTCGCCGGTGTGAATGAAAAGCAAGCAGACGGGTAAAGTGGATGAGACAATGGGAGGCAGTGGATTTTTGGGAAAATAGGAATCGGTGGAGAGGATAACATACACTTGTGATAGTAGAATGAAAACTAAATCTGACAGCAAACAGGAAAACAACATGTAGCAAGTAAGGGAACTTAATTCTAATGAAGCGGTCAAAGCAGTGGAAGGATCTGGAACTTAATTCTAATAAAGCGGTTAAAGCAACGGTGGATCGATAACCCACTAAACTTATATATATATATATATATATATATATATATATATATATATATATATATATATATATATATTAGCTGTGTATCCGCGCAAAGCTGCGGTGGTGAATAAATTTTTAAGCACATTCGGAAAATAATTTATTTTCTACAATTAGTTTCCCTTTTAGAAACATAAAATATTACAAAGAAAACATATTATATGTTATTTTAGGAAATAGTTTTCGGTTTTCGATTTTACATTTAGAGTTTGATAAAAATTACGCAAAAATAATAATAATAATAATAATAATAATTCATGTCTATGGTTGTTGTCGTCTACTTTGTTACATGTCATTATTCTATTGACATCTATAAATATATTTAAATATTTGTTATACCACTACCCATCCATTGTTGGAATTTAATCACAAATTATGCTAATACATTTTTAAGCTGTTTAATTTGTTTTGGTTTCTTTGTGATAATAGTGAATTGTGGGTGAGGTATTGGGGGCATGTTCAATTGATTGAAACATGCATCACAAACATCTAGGATGTTTTTTTGTTTTAACAACGATATTAACACACATATATAATACTACATACGTTGTACATTATCATAGTCTTTTAAAATATAACATACATAAAGAATTGTATGATCGCTTTGTATTATCCAATGACAAAATAAAGAATTTTATGAAATAAAGTAATTATTCCAAATGATTTTTTTTTATATATGCAATTACTAAGGAAATTAAGAAGGATTTGGGGCTTCAAACATTTATCTTTCAAAATATTTAAGCAATATATAAATGATCATGCATTTTCTAATTACAGATAATAACCTTGGTATAACTCCAACATCTCTAGACATAGTAACTTTTATCAAAAAATTCAAAACCTATCTCATCACTTTAGCTAAACTATGTATGGTGAAAATGGACAAATTATAGAACAAACTCAAAGAGAAAGATTTAATTAGCAATTTTTATTAAAACTAAATTTTCATTTATACTGTAAATATAACTAACAAATGGACAATATGGATCAGACAAAAGACAATTAGCAATTTTTATTAAGAGTAAATTTTCATTTATGCTATAAATTTAACTAACAAATAGATAATATGGATCAGACAACATCAATTTGAGAGCATTCCATCAAAACCCAAATTTAACAATTAGCAATTTTTGCTCATTCAACCCAACATCTGTCACCTAAAAGATTAATTAAAAAATAAAACTTCATATCATGGATTATGTCTTTTTAAACCCATCAAATATTTACACACCTTATCTCCAAATAAAAAAGTGCCTGATGGATCATATTTGAAGAGTCTACGTATATTCTCATCATCAACAGTTCAACACCCAAGACCATAGCCACTACCATTGAAATAGACAATATAAAAGATGCAAATATAATTTTCAACCTAGTTCTACACAAACTGAATATCACAAAGAACCAAGAAGGGTTTCAAGATACCATGGATCCAAAAACATTCCCTATTGGTGGACTCGGAAGAAATGGGCAAAATAACCGATTTGGGTCTTCTTATTCAAAAAATCTTCAAGCATTCACTCAAAGCAACTAAACCAACTCCTTCATATTTATTTAACTTTCTGCGCAAGTTAGGCTTATAAGAATTGGTGGAACAATTACCGCCACTCACATACATTCACACGTACTCTAGATAATGTAAGATCAACGTGAAAGTGTATACAAATTGTTAAAAATAAATATTACCTTGTTAAAAGTAGGTTGGTAATAAGCCATATCTGCATCTTTTTCATCACCAAATTCCCCGTGGAAGCATAACATGACGTCCTTGGAGATGTGTCTTCAAAACACTGACACACATAATCACAAGCTTTTACCAAATACACTATCCTTGATTAACAATGTTACCTTCTGTTAGTAAAAGTCAAAAGATTCTTTAAATAAAATATTTTCATCCTGAATATTAAAACCTTTTGCCCCTGCAAACCGAAAACAAAATTATAAACTACACATTCATATATCTAAGAAAAAATTACACTAACCTTAAAAAAAACACTTTAATTCGGCCCAACTCTTGAAACTTGATACATTTCATCATATCATAAGTCATTAATCAAATATATATTTTTTTCTGTTAAAAGTAACACCAAGACCAAACTCGAAAACCAACATAAACATCTAAATCTCAAGCTACAATGTGAATCCCATGGCAGCTGGTGAGTCAACATGCGAACAAAAGGCTGAAAAAAATAAACCAATTTTCTTTTAAGGATTGTGACTTTCAGTAGGTCTATCCACAAGCTTGAGCAGGATCTTTCACGGGCTACACATCTTCCTAGACCATTATGCTATAAACTCCAGAAACAGTTAAAAACACAATTCAACCAAAATTAGATATTTTAAAAATGATTGTGAAAAAAAAATCGAGATTTACTTGAATCAGTTAGCTATGTTTATGTTAAATATGAGTGCTTAGTGAAAGATACCTTGTGTGTTCCAGATAGCAAAACAATGATCCAAGATTTGATTTTCTCCTACAAAAAGTCATCAAAAAACACATTTAAATCCTTACAAGAAATTTCACACAAACAAAGTTCAATCACATACACATACAGAGTTAAACAGATACTATCAATGCAAAAAGTTCTTGGAAAATCTGAGAAACTTCAACACTTACTAATAAACAAATAAAACAAATATATATGCTTTTGCCTTATTTTATCCATTTTCTGAAAGAAACCTAGCAGATGGATTAGATGCAAAACAAATGTGGGTAGTTGGTTTTCGAATCCATATTCAAACCGTTTCTCTATGCCCTACAAGACACCAGAAAGCAAGTACTTAAATAAATCAGGGTGACTAAATCACAAAATGCTAGCCATTATTAAAAAAAATTAAACATAAATCTATATCTTTCATCAATTACACAAACCAGGAAATATGAAGCTTGAATAAACTCACGTTTCAGCTTCTTCCTTTTCTGATTTTTGAATCTTCCTACAAAATTTAGCACACAAAATCGGTTACACACATAAATCAACCAATAAAAATCCACAAACAAAGATTGGGGAAGTCTTTTACCTTGGAAAAGTGACATCTCAGATCCTGAAACATAGTAAAAAAAACAGAATTTTTTGACAGGGAAAAAAAGCGGATGGAAGTGAGAAACATCTAGTAGTATGAAGTTACCTTGAATTAGATAAAAGAAAATTGGATCTTTCAAAGGTATTCAGAAAAAATTACTTTTGAGTGGGAGTCCTGGCTTTTTGTATATTGGTTTTGAAGCCGATTTAACTATTTTTAGCCACAGTCACCATTGTTCAATCAGTTTTTTCTTGGTAGTGAGAGGCGATGAAGAGAGTAGATTCTTGTATATTGTTGCCTTCGAGAGAAGAAATGGCAAGGGTTCTTTGAGAGATAACTAATGAGAGGCTATGAAACGTATATCTCTTGTTGACTGATTCAATTCGATGATGGCGAGAGAATATAGGGTCAACTTTGATCGATTCAATTTACACATGAATTCAAGCGGTTACGTTGAGATATTTAAGGAATAAAAATCAAATTACATATGTATATGTTTGATAATCTGATTTGGTATGCAGATAAAATGTGTGCATTATGTGATTATACCTCCAGCTTATAAATTTAGACGATAAAATCTCATTTAAATTTTAATATTATTTAAATTATAATTGGTTGTACATTAAGCTTAAAGTCTTGAACGTTTTAAAAAATATTATTATTATATTGAAGCTATTTTTAGAAATAGTGAGATTTCCTTTATAATGTATTAAAGATATATATATATATATATATATATATATATATATATATATATATATATATATAAATAGTTTAAAAGATTGATTATGTGGTATGAACTCACCTGATGTGGGTGAATCAGACAAATAGGCGTGTAAAGATGAGAAGTCTCGAGACTTAGCAAGTCCTAAATGAGATATATTGGCATAAATATAGGGTTTAGAGGTAACCAAAGGCAAGGAAACACCTCACAAGACTAGTAAACACTTGGAATGAAGTGTTGAATCACATGTAATTGAACTAAGAGGAGTGTACGGCCACCATTAGGAGTTTACGGCCATGAGTTTACGACCAAGGGAGTTTATGGCTGTAAACTCATGGTTAAATGTGCATAAGAGGGTGTTTGAATGCCAAGGAGGCTTTAGGGAATATTGCACTTCACAAGGATGAGTAAAACAAGGGTTTTGGAGGGTGTTGAGGTGTTTTCAGCCACGGTGTAAACCTTATGGTCATAAACTCTCCAAATGGTGTCTTTTTGGGTCTTAAAGGTAAAGAGTTTCAAGGGTCTAAATATTCTAAGGGTTGGCAAGGGTTTAAAGGTGTTTAGGACTCAAAACATCACCCTTTTAAGGGTTTACGGCCAAGGTGTAAACCTAGGGCCTTAAAATCTCTTTGATGTTGAATTTTATGATTTTTAAAGGCTCTAAATCAAGTGTTCTAACTAGATATCAAGTTAAGGAAATAGTACTTACAATATAGAGGCTTGAAATGGTGTTTATGGCCCAAGAACACTAGTGTGTGTTCTTGGTGTTTCTTGAAGATCTAAGAAAAGATGATTTGCATGGATGAAATCATGAGATGATACTAGATTAAGAGATGTATCAACAAATCAAGGAAGAAAACTTAGAAATTTTGAAGATCTAAGATGAAAATTGGGATGATACTTGACA